CCAGGTTGTTTCTTGGAAGAATGAGAGGAGAGAGGAACTTCTTTTTATGAGCAGCAAGGTATGCCACTTATTCTTATGTTTTATCTGAGGAGTTCAAGTAGTTAGAGTCTACTGTCTTTTTCCGCTATATTTCTTAATCAATCCTTTGCGTTTGTCGAAGATTAATGAAGTTCTGTCTCCAGAAAGCAACTCAGAATCTTTTATCAATCTGCTTTTGTTTTCCTGGTTTCTTAATGACTTCCTTCCGTGCCTTACATGATGAATTGGTCACCTGTATGAACTCTTAAAGATCTATTTTTATATCCTTTTCTTATATCTAGCCAGATGAGTTGCATAATGTCTAACAAAAGGGAAGGAATAAGCACCTTGATTGGTTCTTCTCTTTTATTTGTCATGTTATTTCCCGATTTTCATTAAATACTGGCTTCTGCTAAGCAATTCACACTTTATCAGTCATTACTCCTTGCAGTACTATTCTATTTTCTCCTTCAAAAGGACATATAGTGCATTGTTAACTGGACCTCAAATGCTTTTTCCGTTGTTTTGTTATTAAAGCAACAGGCTGACAGCTTCAGTCAGGACCTCCCTCCATATTTTAATGACACAAGCTCGGTTTCTACGTTCTGCAGGCTACTTGGAAACCATCTAAGGCAATAAGAGGGGGCATACCTGTTTGTTTCCCGCAGGTTGGGTGCCAAACCAATCTATCAGAAACATAATCTGCTGCAGTCAATGTGATATTTATGCATTCTAGTTGCTTGCTGGTTATTGCAGTTTGGAAATCTTGGCTCACTTGAACAACATGGATTCGCCAGAAACAGATTATGGTCCTTTGACAATGATCCCTCGCCTTTGCCTCCAGCTAACAGTCCATCAACGGTGGATTTGATTTTGAGGTCTTCAGAGGATGTTCTAAAGATCTGGCCACGAAGGTACGAAACGGGAACCTGTTTTCTGCCTCAAGGAGACTCAACATATCACCTCTTTTGCAAAACCTATAAATCTCTCCATCATTGATTTGCAGCTTTGAGTTGCGTCTACGTATTACTCTTAGTCCTGGCAAGCTGACGATCATTCCTCGCGTGAGAAATACTGATAACAAGCCCTTCTCCTTTATGTTCGCGTTGCGTAACTACTTGTCTGTATCAGATATAAGGTTTGCCAAGTGAAGTAGAAGCTACTGCATTTGTTTGCAATAAAAAATTTCTTAAAGTTATTTTAAAGACTACAGCTTTATGACTTATATGTTTTAAAAATGCTGGATCTGTAATCAGTTACACTTTCTAATAGTTGAGGTCCAAAGATTTTGAGTTCTCCTTTACAGAGGGGTTTCATGAAGCTGTTTAATTTGCAGTGAAGTTCGTGTTGAGGGTTTGGAGACTCTTGATTTCTTTGATAATCTGATGCACAGAGAAAGATATACAGAGCAGGCAGATGCAATTACTTTTGATGGCGAGGTGGGTAGTTATTATTTTTTAGTGCTCTTTTTTCCTTTTACAACATGTTTGGACCTTAAGGTGATATCAACTTACATAAAATTATTTTCACTTCAGATTGACAGAGTGTATTTAGATACCCCGACAAAGATTGCCATTATAGATCACGAGAAAAAGAGAACCTTTGAATTGAGGAAGGAAGGCATGCCAGATTCAGGTTATTGACAAATTCTCTTAGTATCAACCATGATCATGAGCTTTTTTCTTATGAATTTGAAAACTACCTGACATACAGTTTCTTATCTATTAATCCCTTGGCCTCATAAATTGTATTCTCTTTCTGTCTTACTATAATCTCTTCCTATATATTTACTTGGTATGCAGTTGTATGGAACCCTTGGGATAAGAAGGCCAAGGCTCTTTTGGATTTGGGAGATGAAGATTACAAAACCATGTTATGTGTGGATTCTGCTGCTATTGAGACCTCTATTATCTTGAAA